ATGCGTGTGTGTATATATGTATATGTATATGTATATATATATATATATATATATATATCCCACACCAACCAAAATGATACACTTAGCCAGTACTGGCCCGAGTCTGGGTACTGAAACTGAGCCAACACCACAGGCATTGGGCCACAATCACACCAACCAAAATGGTACACTTAGACTCGGGCCAGTACTGGCTAAGTGTTTAATTTCTCGTCGGTGTGATTGTGGCCCAATGCGGGAGGTGTTGTCTCAGTATTAGTACCCAGACTCGGGTCCGTACCGACTAAGTGTTTCAATTCTTGTCGGCGGGACTGTGGCCCAATGCCAGCAGTTTTGGCAGCTAGACTCGGGTCAGTGTATTTGGGCCGATTCTGGGGCGTCATTCATCCCATGTCCATGCCGAGTCTGGCAACTGCAGCCGGGCCGAGTTATTTCTTCCGGCCTGCCAGATCTGGGCCATTTTCGGGCCAAACCATTTTGGCTACCTGGGATCTATATGACATAGGTAAATAATCTCTTTAAAATCTTATCTGATCTGGGGTCATACAAAGATTATTTTACTCCCCAAAAATAATAATTTGGTGGAACTTATTTCAGTTGTGAACAGTGTTTCCACATATTTGAGATGGGCTTTCTTCACATTAAATTAAATTGTGAACTCCACTGCAATTATTTGTAATAGTTTTCTATTCACATGAAGGTTACATACTCTCCTGACAAAGAGAATACATTTAGTTTGATTAATTAAACAGTGAGAAATGCATAAAAAACTACATTGCTTGCTTCCCCTTCACAATATTGAGAGGTGAGCTGAAAACATCTGGCGTATGTGTGCATAATTGTGTAAAAATGGAACAGTGTTTTCCCCCCCCCTTTCTCTCTGTCTCTATTGTATATAAAAAATACATGCTGTTATTTTATTGGCTGCCATCAAATGGCTTATAAAAATAATAAATAATAATACAACTGTATAAAATAACTATTTTATATGTAGGTGAATTGAGCATGTATCCAAAAATTCTATATAAACGCACATGTTCTATAATATATACATTTGTGTATATAATTTGTACAGGCTAAAAACTAGCACAAACTATATAAAAAAATTAAATAAAAAGTAAATACTTTTTTTAAGTAGAAATTTTCTGTTAAGATTAGTGTTCATTTATAGTTTGTATAACTAACTTCATTAAAAAAACAATAGAAGTTTATGCAATGTCCCCATTTAGATAGCTAATTTAATATAGGTTTGTGTTTGTGTGTGCAGGGCCGTCGCAGGAATTCTGGGCCCTGTGCACTGAATTTGTTATGGGGCCCCCTCAAAATCACGTTCAGGGGGGTATGAGTTGCAATCGTATAACGTTCAGGGTTGGACTGGGGTTAAAATTTGGCCCTTGACAAATCGGGCCCACAAATCCCCCCTTAAATGTTTTGATGGGTCCTATGGCCTTCAATTGGAGTAAATAAATAAATAAAACGGGACAGAAACTTATACTGAGATATATATATATATATATATATATATTATTTAATTCACGACAAATGCAACAAACTCAATAATGCATTTTTGTCACATAGAAAAGCACTTGACAGTAAAGCATTTATTTTGAGCTAGACTGCTGGAAAGTTACTGCTAATAAATTACCAGGTATGTCATCATTTCCTCACCCTCATGTCATTCCAAACGACTTTCATCTGTTGAACACAAAATACGATTGTGTAGAATGTTACCAAACCATTTTGGTTACCCTTGATTTCTACTGTATGGAATTAAACAGTGAGAAATGCATAAAAAACTACATTGCTTGCTTCCCCTTCACAATATTGAGAGGTGAGCTGAAAACATCTGGCGTATGTGTGCATAATTGTGTAAAAATGGAACAGTGTTTTTTCCCCCTCTTTCTCTCTGTCTCTATTGTATATAAAAAATACATGCTGTTATTTTATTGGCTGCCATCAAATGGCTTATAAAAATAATAAATAATAATACAACTGTATAAAATAACTATTTTATATGTAGGTGAATTGAGCATGTATCCAAAAATTCTATATAAACGCACATGTTCTATAATATATACATTTGTGTATATAATTTGTACAGGCTAAAAACTAGCACAAACTATATAAAAAAATTAAATAAAAAGTAAATACTTTTTTTAAGTAGAAATTTTCTGTTAAGATTAGTGTTCATTTATAGTTTGTATAACTAACTTCATTAAAAAAACAATAGAAGTTTATGCAATGTCCCCATTTAGATAGCTAATTTAATATAGGTTTGTGTTTGTGTGTGCAGGGCCGTCGCAGGAATTCTGGGCCCTGTGCACTGAATTTGTTATGGGGCCCCCTCAAAATCACGTTCAGGGGGGTATGAGTTGCAATCGTATAATGTTCAGGGTTGGACTGGGGTTAAAATTTGTCCCTTGACAAATCGGGCCCACAAATCCCCCCTTAAATGTTTTGATGGGTCCTAGGGCCTTCAATTGGAGTAAATAAATAAATAAAACGGGACAGAAACTAATACTGAGATATATATATATATATATATATATATATATATATATATATATATATATATTATTTAATTCACGACAAATGCAACAAACTCAATAATGCATTTTTGTCACATAGAAAAGCACTTGACAGTAAAGCATTTATTTTGAGCTAGACTGCTGGAAAGTTACTGCTAATAAATTACCAGGTATGTCATCATTTCCTCACCCTCATGTCATTCCAAACGACTTTCATCTGTTGAACACAAAATACGATTGTGTAGAATGTTACCAAACCATTTTGGTTACCCTTGATTTCTACTGTATGGATAATCTACTGTAATGAATTTCTCAAATTATGTTCCACAGAAGAAAGAAATTCATACAGGTTTGGAATGACATGATGTTGAGGAAATGATGACAATTTAAATTTTTAGGTGAATCTCCCTTTAAGAACTTTATTATTTGTAAGTAATAAGCACCTAATTTATATAAGACACTGATATTTATTTTTAATCAGGCTCGTATTGAATTAACATTTTACTTCAATTAAAATTCATTAAAACTAAACATCTAAAAAGAAAGAAGTTCTTGCTTAGAATCCAAAGTTTAGCTGACTAGTATTAGTAGGATGGTGGTCACAAAAATTAAAACCATGGTCCTCATTACCATGGTTAGATGGTTTCTAAAATAAATAATAAGTAATAATAACTATAAAATTTGTAGTAAAAAAAAACTAAACATTAAGAAACTACAAAACAACTTCTGTGAAATTAAAATATTCCCCGATATGTAATAAGAGTAACATTTATAATAAAGACATTTCTGCCAACACATAGTCTATTTGTACAGTGTTAATAACGTCAAGTAAAATTACTATGGTGCTGAATTGACAAGCCTATTGGCATTTTCCAATATACCTCATTGTCGTGGCTGTTTTCAGCCAGCATCACTACAGAACCTTTAATGTTCTCAGATAACACAACTGTATAACAATTCTGTCACATATGAATGGATGAAGTGACTTGCACTGTTTATCACTTGTAAATCGTGGCAGAAGTGCGGCGCTGTGCGGGAGACTGATCCCTCTTTGCTTTGACGCGCGGCTGGTGGATGCAT